ACTTAAAGTATAATTTTAGAAATTTCTTTTGAAAGGAAGTTGCTTTTCCCATGGAAAGCAAAAGTCCAGGTTCTGAAATTTTTGGATTTTCTGTAATATTTTTACCTTTTTGAGAAAGCTACAGAAGCATTACTTTTACTGGGCAGAAAACACAAAAAAATCAGCTAAGTTATTGTCGGGATTCGAACTCTGGATCTTTTGATTACTCTGCGGATGTGCTGCCAGGTATACATTAAGAGCAAGCAGGGAGAGATGATAATCACTTATATTCCTTTCCCTTTTAGGGTGATTAAGCAAAGAGAAACGTTACCCAGTCGCACAAATCCAGGTAGTGAATAATTATCATGGACAGCATTTTTATTCGGGTAACAATGTACAGCAGTTTCGCATTCAAAAGCGCGAATCAGTAAAAATCATTTATACCCTCACCGGGACTTAAGCATGGTCACGGGATCTTCCGACAACTCCCTGGAAGTGCTACTAGCTGCATCACAAATGCATGCGGGTGGCGAGGATCATAAAGCTACTCCGATTCTGTTGATATACTTAGAATTAAGCAAATTAAAGTTCGTATTTAAACGTACTTTAGGAGGAAGTTAATAAGGAAGGCTTCGTGCTTTTCTGAATACTCTATAAATTATCTCTGAAATCACCTTTCAGCAATCGATCTGAGGCAGTTGAAAAGCTTCAAAGATGACCCATACTGCTTTGAGATTAAAGAAATTTGCAGTGAGGTTTCCAAAGATGACCTTCTTTAGATGCCTTCAATGATAAACCTCACAAGCATTTACATTCAACAAATGTTTTTTTTTTTTTTTTTTTTTTTTTTTTTTTTTTTTCACCCATCACCGAGTACTTAAAGACAGCCAAATAATAGTAGTTCCACCTAAGTTCGAACACAGGTGCGGGTAAAGGTAAAAGTATGGGGACACCAACGATGTACCATAGGTCAACTGGTAATGCCTTCCCATACTAACTCTTAAAAAAAGGGGGAATTGCAAGTTTTATAAGAATTTACATAGACTGAAGCTTTCCAAATGGATTAAAGTTTGCCTATTTTTTTTACATCTTGCAATCCCACGGTACGTCCCGCATCTAGTATTTATTAAAAATAATGATGTAGGACATAAGTAGATTACAAAATAGTCTGAATACAATTTAAGATTCACAAAATAAATTAAACATCTGATTTGGTGCAACAAAAATAGGAGATAAACATAATTAATAAACAGACAAACATAATGAGATAATTATTAATTAGTACGGGAAACACAATAATGAATTATAACACACACAATAATGTTATAATGAATTGTAATAATAACGCTAAAGAAGTGGGTGTCCATGGGTCATTTCAGATATAAAGGTTTGCAGTTTATAATGTTCACGAGTGGAGTCATTTTGTCCATAATCACAGCATGTAAAAGTTCGCTAAATTTATGCCAGTATGTGGACTTACACTTGACAGAGATCTAGACGGTAGGAAGAGACTCGTTGCATAATTTTCTGAAACTTTGGACACTGATGTTTATCTTTAATTAGAAACCTACGGAATGCCAGGAGGTCAATTCGTGTGGATTTTATGTGAATATCCTCAGTTAAAGTGCATGAGAAAGTGTAATGATCAGGAGTTCCCAGTTCCCTACATATGCAAATATCTGAGTTCGCCATATTTCTTGCGTAGAAATATGTGGGGAAGGGTCCTTGTCCTGGTATAAAGTAATCTAATGAAGCATTCTAGAACAGAGATGCGAAGCTTACATTCCACAAATCTTGCAAAGATTTTGAAGCAAGTTGTTTTAGTTGGTACTTGAAATTTGAGCGAGGCCACGGAATGATTTAGGTACCATCTTGATTAATAGCTGCTTCTGTATCTAATTCATCTGCCTGATCATTACCAAAATGGCCACTATGTCCTTTGACCCATGAAATTTAAATTTTGTATTTTGCAGTTTTGCCAAGAAGAGACTTTATGTCGGATATCATTGGAGAGGAAGGTAAAGGGATTCTTAATCGCTAGAATAGCTGCTTGGGAGTCAGATTTTATGCTAAATTCGTTGAGATTTTTGAGAATGGCTATTTCAATCGCTGCTTTTATAGCTGACAATTCCGCTTGGAAAACACTGTTATTATTATGGAGATGGCCTTTTCATTTGATGATATTTGAAGAGGTAATTTGAAAATAGACTGCGGAACCAAATTTTCTGTCAATTTTTGATACATCAGTATAAGCTATTGGAGATGAACTGCTTGAATTTTTTTCAGCCATGGGGAATTTTATTTTGCTGAAGCGAAGCGCTGGATGGATAAGATTGGGGTTAATTTTCTTTTCATAGTTGGATGGCCAAAAGATTTGGTTGTTAAATTCTGAGGCTTGATTAAGTTGAAGGACTTTCATATAGGCGCTTTCCATTTCTGCGCTGATTGATAATGAAAGAGTATCAATTGATAATGGAAGAGTATCAATATATCTAAAGTATCAAGTGCTATATTTGAAGTTGTGCGATACGCCCGAGTAAATGCAAAGATTAAAAGGCCTTACGACCCAGATTCTCTTAGAAAGGCCTCAGAGAAGGCAGCCCTTCGCTTAGAGATAGCCCTATTGTGCTTTGCCATATTTAAATAGATAATCAATTGGCAAAGGCGCCCTCTTCATTGTTTAAAACTGGCGTATGATTATTCTTCTGTTTATAAGTTCATACCGAAGTACTTGTTTTATTCGTATGGCTATATGCGGAAGAGTACTATATTGTATGTGTTCCTCTGCACGTAAATAAATTTATGTAATATTAAAACGCTCTTGAAATCTTGTGGATTTATAAACCCAATGCATATTACTGTCCAAGGAAGGAACAGATAAGCGGGTACGAAAGACAGCTTCCTTTGAAAAGTGAGCTTTCTCTAAACACCTCTATAAACAACACACAACGCCTTTGGAAATGGAGAAGCATCCATCGCTATAAGCGGGAAATTTCTGTGGCAGAAATTCTGTAATTATTCAAATTAAGAGCAGATGAGGAAAAATAATCGATTTTTTTTTCTGCAACTATATTTTTTCAATTTTGAAATTTAAAAACTTTGAAGAACATGAACGCAAATTAAACTAGAGAAATTTCCGCGCACTGTTTCATCCATGGACGTAAGAATAAAAGGAGACGCCCTTCTCCCACTACGGTTGACGAAATGCTGCGGAGCTTAAGGGATAGCCAAAGGCTCTGTGTTTTGTTTACATCCAAAGCATATTGGCAGCTGTTTGGTAGTATTCCCACACACTGCAGTTCGACACAAATCAAAAAGAAAGGATACTTACGCATAAAAGAAACATTCATTCCTAGGTAGGAAATAGCAACTCGTATAGTTTATTGGCATTTCAGCGTAAATAATAGCTTAGTTATCTTTCGATAACTCGGAACAGCGATTTTGATTTTAAATTTGTTTTATGAAATTCTAAGCTACAGGCTACAAATATACAGATTTTAGCAAAAGGTTTATATTAAGTGTAAAGAATTATAAATACCTTAAATTACCATTAAAGCTTCAAAATATCGTAAAAATATAACACAATTCCTAAGATAGATATTGAATTCTCTGCGAAATTTTATTTACTAAAATATTCAAATTTGATAATGAATGCAACCAAAAAAACGTCTTTTAAGTCAAACGTTTGTGACTTGATGGCTAAATGTAACTATGAAATTATGTTTGCTAAATATTTGCTATTAGGCACATAGGTCCCGGTAAAGTTTTGTAAGTAAGATAATGCATGTAAGAGCTATCTGATTAAGGAAGAGATGCCTTCGGGGAGGAATTTCGAAGGAAAACTGACTTTGAAGTACTTAAAAATATTGCATTCACTTTATATTTATACATATTTTTTATGTAAAACTTCTGATATATGCGAAGTTAATGTAAATTACATTAGCCAAAAAATATAGCGAATGCACAGAAATTAAAGATCTGCCCATGCCGGAAATGAAAAATATTAATTATATAAGATTATTCTGCGTATTTTTATAAAAAGCATGGATTTGCATTTAACTAAGTACGCAAATGTTTATTATTTTTATATAAATGTATTTAGAAATGAAGAATTAATTCCTTCATTAAATTCCTGGAAATGTTACTGTGAAGAAATTTAGTTATATATACATATATAAATTTATCACGATTATCGTTATTATCTAATTATAAAATTACCTTAACAATTAATTGTAAATATAAATCGAAATTCTATAGAAAAATAAATTTATAAAACTATTTAAGCAAGAAAACAATTTGTTAGTAAGTGTTACAAAGCACAGTCTATAAGACTCGTAATTAAGCGAGTAGTAAAGTAGAGATTTTAGAATGTGTATTTTGAAAACAAGGGTAAAAAAAAAAAAAAATACTCAAGCATTAAAAGAATTATTTCATTGCATTCTATTAATAATTCAGTTTTAAGTATTAAATAATATTAATAAACCTCTTTTCTATCCCTCTCAGAAATATTGATAGAAAGTTAAGTACATCGAAGTCAGAAATCAGCAGCAATATTTAACATGCTTCACTATTCAAATAAAAAGCTGATCTAATGTGAAATAAACCAAACAGAACATTAACTATAGAATGACTATAATTTTTAATTTAAGAGATGTCTCAGAATCTGAAAATCATCTCATATTTAAGAATTTACTTCAGAAAAAAGTTCTGTAAATAGAAAGCTACGTATATAACGCGTGATTTTAATGTTAATGATAACATAAGCTTTGATTTTAATTTTCGTAATCATTAACCGAATGAAATCGAATTACCTTAAAACTTCTTTCTAATATAATTAGTGAAAACTTGTGAAAATATTTCATTCAAATTAAAACTGTCCCGTGCAAAATTCTGGGAAAAGTATAACATTTAATTCATTTCAGACTGAAATGTTGTTTAAAAATGTATTCTTTCACATACTCAGGATATTGCAGAAAAAGAAAATATAACTTATATTTATAATGTAATTACGAAATGTTTACCTCCGATTTTGTCAAAACCTATTGATTTTAAAGGCAAGTCCCTGAATGTTTTGGTCACCTAGAGGGGTGCATCACTGCTTCAAGACAATGTATAGGAAAAACTAGTTCGGACCTCTTGTTTCATCCAATAGTGCTGTTATGACCATATCCTGCGTTATCTACCAGTTCACTTCTTTTCATTTCTGCTACACATGACACGAAAAGAACAATTTTTCGTCTTCTGGAATTATTTTACGTAAAATGTGTACCATTCGTATGCATATGATATATGATTCGTAAAAAAAGATTCGTATGAAACGTATATGATCCGAAGCTTCTCTCTGAAAGTTTGTCATTATTCTAACGAAAGTATAAATACACAGCGTAACAGAAGCAAATATTCACAAAATAAAATTATAGCTTCTGATTTATAGTGTAAAGCACATTAAGCATGATCGAATTTTTGTTACAAACTTTTTATGAAGTCTGCCTTTCCAAGTGTATACAATTTGTACTTTTACGACAGCAGTGGATCCTATGGCGAAAAAGCATCGGGCACATTTTTAGAAATACACCTTCACGCTAGCAAAACACAACGAAATTTCCTTAAGAATATTCAGAATAATTTGAAGAAATTCTGTTTTAGAAGTGCCTCTAACAATGTCTTTTGAAATATTAATTATATTAATATTTAATATTGATTAAATACACCCTGTATTAGATAAACTTCCCGGAAACTGCTTAATGTCTCGATATGTGTGGCTTTAATCTAGCTGTGACTTACAATTAGTAAATACTTCCAAGAATTTTCGATCTTGAGTTTAGAATAACTTCTCTCTAAATAGTTGTACGTCTTTATAAAACAACTGCATCATGTTCTACGTCATCCATCATTAAAATATTTTGTTATTACTTAAAAAAACAAGAAACAATTGAGGAATGGAATACAAAATTTGAAATCCGTTAATTAATCATCGATCAAAACAATAAAATTCTTCATGACATGTAAATATGAATATGTAAATAAGACAAAAACTTAAACATGTAATTATTAATTTTTATATTTATTTTTACTTACACATACGTACACCAAAGCAAGCACACAAATTTATATGTTACAAGTTTGAATATCATGCATATTAACATACGTAAAACGTAACATTTGCAAATCAAACCAAATAAAGCAGACTATTCATTTATCACTTCAAACAGTTGATAATAATATAATAATGACATTAAAGTTTCAACGATTATTTTTTACATAAATGATTTAATAAATTAGTCACTGAAACCTTAAATCAGAGTTAATTTCATGCTTATGAGTGAATAAAAATTAGTTCTCAAAAACTAAAATAGATGGCGCCAGCAGACAAGGGCTTAATATAGATGCTAATAGAAATTTTTTATCTTGGGTGAAATGTTAAGATGAACGAGTTTGAAAAATATTCAGTATTGCTACTATAAATTAAAATAATTTGTATTTTCTATGCATTAAACGCTGAAATGTATAAAAAACTAAGTGATAAGTCCAGTAATCCTTTAAAAAGAAAAAATTTTCATACAAATACTACTCTTATGAGTAAATTGATTAATTCAGAATTAGCGAAGGCATTGTCTACTGCTTGCTGTAGACGGAGAAGTTACGATAACACCTAAATTCTCTTTTTTACGCAAATAATTTTATGACAGTTTGATTTAGTAGCATTTCAGGAGAAAGGAAACACGATTATCATTGCATACAGCGTTTGATAATTTTCATGAGTTTGAATAGGCTTTATAATATGACGTGCTTTTTATTGAATTCCTAGTAGACACTCTGTTCTAGTGCTTTAGAGAATTGTAGCAAGAGCCGACTGAGTCGGTAACAATGATTTTGAACTCTCGTTTTGAGAGGAATTTAGAATTGCTAACATTTTGTAAATAAATATTGTATATAGTTTTAGTTCGTGTATAATTTTCACATATTGAAGTGACTTTATTGAACCGTATTTTGCACGGTAAAAATTACTTAGACTAACTCGCATTTTAAGCGGAATATTACAAAGCAACTTGAAAAGAAAAAAGTAAGGAACATGAAAGTGAAATTATACGAATAATATGGCTACAAGAAAACACCAAGATGCCTTTTTATGTGATAGAATGACTGGCAAGCTTGAAGAGAGGAGTAGTTTGATGTCTGTCTCCCAACAGTTTTACGAACTTCGAATGCCATCCATACGACAAATTCAGCTGTAGGATAGACTGGTAGTGTTTGTCTAAGGAAAACAACGGCGGCTGATAACCGATATATTTTAGAAACCTAACTACGATACCATGTGACTCATCTGCACAGAAGTAGATAAAAACGTTATTTATTCCTGTGGTAAAGGTTTTGAAGCCATCTTTCACCATATTTTTGACGAACTGTAGATATGAACAAATTATTATAATTCAAATAAAAGATTTTTCGCAGTTTTGACAAAAGGCTACTATCGTAAAATGGCTTACATTTGTAGGCCTAGTTTCGATGGTTTAAATACTTCTTCAACTGCAAAAGAGCAAATGGAGAAGTGGATTTGCAGTTCTTCAAATTATTGATGACACATAATTAAGCTTATCTGCTTTCATTCATATTGCTCGAATGCATTATTAATAGTCAGGCGCAATACATAGTTTGTTGTGTTTTTTATGTAATATTTGATCGATTGCAAATCATTATAACAGGTTTTAGAAAGGGATCTTATCAAAAACTTTATACAAATAGTTTTAGGCGTCTTCATTTAACAAGCGTATTTGGAAGTCGATATCGCCCAGACGGTATAATGGTTAAGGGTACCATGATACCGAAGGGCCTGGGTTCGAATCCCAGGTAAGACATGGATGTTTGTAAATGTATAGTGTCGGAGCGGCATGGCGGCACTTTAAATATGCTGCGAGCAGAAAGTTCTCTCGTGTGGATTGGTGGGTGAGGAGAGAGGTGGGAGACCCCTGGATCCCCTATTGGGGTACTCTCTCTCAAAATTGGGGGGTGAAAAACAGAAGTCCAACCTCTCTTCGGATTAGGCTCTGGCAGCCATTGTTCCATGTAATATGGATAAGACAACAACAACGTTTGGAAGTCGATTCTTATTTTATTTCTAAAGTAAATAAGAAATTAGTTTTAGAGTTTTTTACTTCTATCATGTCAATAATATGATAGATTATTAATAAGAAGAACCATAGCAAGACTTTAAGTTATGGTTATAGTTGGAATGTAAATGAAATGATTTGCAAATGGAAAACAAGCTTTTTAATGCTAGTGGGGTATGTAAATTCTATGTTTAAAGAAACTGGCAACACTAGTGTTTTTTTCCTTTTAAATGCTTCTCATTTTGACCTGCAGAATTGATTCAATTTTTCATGAAAGTGCCGCACCTGGCATCTATAAAATATTTATACTAATAAAATTATCATTACTTGAAGTTGTATTTATGTTTGTTGTCTTTTACTTCGTTGTGGAATCACTATGAGCGATCTTCGGTTAATCCTCGATGAAACCGTTGGTGATAGGTTGAATTCAAAATAATAAAATGAGCCATTCAATTCCCACATCAAGAATTCCTTCTTATCACATCTTAACACACATTCCAAATTTCCAAAATCCATTTGTTGACTGAAGTAACAAAAAGTAATAAAAATCATTTGTTCTCAAAATACGAGATGCTTAAATTTATAGGATTAAATATAAAATGTATATTTCTCACGAAGAAAATCAATGCATTTCAAGAATATAACACAGTTGTAACAATTTTGATACGAAACACGTCATTGCCATAGCAGCAAAACATTTTACCTTATTTAAAACTCTTGATATGTTTTTGGCTGACGTAGGAGTATAATAGTATCGATAATAGTTCATGTCATAAACTGTGCATTACAGATGTCGTTTAGGTAATTGCTTGTTCGATAGAAAACCAAATTGCCTTAACGCAAAAAGGAAATGGAAATCTATTATTTACTGCTTTTAAAATTTATGCGAATAGGATTTAACAAAAGCATTTCGTGTTGAAACAGCTTCTGTGGCATATGATAAAATACATTACGAATTTGGCGAAGCACTCTCGAATGGAGAGAAGAGTTGCATAGTGGGTAACTCATAGTTTTGTTTTTTAATTTTTACAAATAAATACAAATATATGAAAAAAGTGTGATATGTGAAACAAAAAGGCGAAGTCTATTAGACGTTTTAACGAAAGATGGTATTTGACCTTCTGTATTGAAGACAAGTGTCCACAATTCAAAGAATGATATATCATGAAAATCCCAGCCTATTAAATACGCAGCTGTAAGGCAGAAAAACATATGCCTTTGTTGCATTTTACAAAAATTATTGAGAATAAATAATTTTTCAGGAATAATAACTGCAAAAATGGTAAAACCGTTTGATTGCCTATTTGCATTATTCTATTTGTGCGGTATAATGGATGTATCTTTGAATAACAAAGTATCTATGAAATTGTTCAAGTATGCAGTATTGTTCTTAAATGTCGTCATTTGCACCTATCATATTCTGATTAATGTTACTTTAGTCATGTGGCTAAAAAATTCGAAAAGCGGGATACTTTCAGTTGTATTCATAATTATTACTGCTATTTTCCGATTTACTTTAAATTTTAGGCTCCAACACTTGAAAAATATCTTACTGCATTTAATGATGTTAAATAATAAATGCAACCTTCCCCGCTGGATTTTCTTTTATGCTGTTATTATAACTCTGATGCACATACCTCTTTGCATATTAAGCATCTTAGAAGAAAGTGACAATGACTTATTTGCGATATTTAAGAGTTTATTTAGAAGCTCGATGACGAATACATCAGTATACGAAGCTCTAAAATTATGCACTCATTTTTCAATAACGTTTTTCTTTAATCTGCCTCTCAATATTTACGCAGTAATTTATACAGCAATATGTCATCAACTCAAAATGGGATTTCAAAATTTGTCAAAATCTGCAACAACGGCGGAAGATTTTGACTACAGTTGGAGTCTACATTCTTTAAAAAAATTGAGATGGGCTATAAAACGCGCTGACGACAAGTTATCGTTTTTTACTTTTCTGTTAGTTCTATATAATGCCACTATGATGTACTACGCGATAACTGCTTTTTTTCTGCAGAACGTATATTTTAGTATTTC